CCTCATATAATATATATATATATATATACATATATATCATGAGGTAGATGGAATATTAAATTAACTAGTATATATATATATATATATATATATATATATATATATATATATATATATATATATATATTGATTGTTTCTTTTCCGAACAGTAAATCCAATAATAAAAAACAATTTGTTTTTTGAAGATGTTTAATACGACGTTTCGGAACTCGGAACTTCGGAACAGTTCCATCATCAGGTTTATTCTGTCAAATACAATGTTTTTTAAAATATTGATTAACATTAATTAACGATGGTCAATACAGATTAATTAGAAAATTTTTTTTTATAAAGGAATGGATTATGTACCGGGGTAAAGAGTAATAAAAATTAACTAAAAAAGGTTTTATATAAAATTGAGAAGCAAAAATTATTTACCTGTAATAATTTATCACTAATATTTTTTGTTGTTAAAAACACTCGATTTTTTTGGAAGATATTTGTAGATGTTACGACTACACAAGACTTAAACTTTGAAGGCTTATTTGATTATTTTGCCAAATTACTCAAAGAAGAAAATATTTTCATTTCAGGAACAGCTCTATATTCTTTTAAAGAAATGTTTTCAAAAATTAAATCCACCACCCCTCCTAAATTCAATACTAACATAGTTTATTCCATCCCTTGCAAAAATTGGCCAAACATCGCAATACATTCATAAGAGAATGAGACAACACGAATTAAGCGTCACTCATCATAAAAGCCGAAATTTCCAAAGTACTCTTGTTCAGCATTCCATCGAAAACTCACATAATTTCACCTTTGAACCCAATATTTTATATAGAGAGGATTGTACTTTTAAAAGACTTTTTTCTGAAAGCAGTTTAATCTTTTTGAATTCGTCAAATAGTGTTAATAAAAGATCAGATCACTATATTATTCATGACTCATATCTAAATTTTTTAAACCTGATTAAAAACAATTAATCCTAATAATTTTTGAATATGTATATATATATATATATATATACTAGCAAACCCGACGAACTCCGTTTCGCCACCAGATGGTTTCGTGAGAAAGATGAAGAAATTTTTTGTTTGTTTTATATTTGAAAAGGAAAAATTTGATTTTATTATACAACAATAATGAATTTATTTCGATTACAAAAATGAAGTGTTTTTTAGTTGTACTTCTCTAAGTAAATGAAAGTGAATCCGCAAATTAGCCGTTTCATTGAAGTGCTCTTTGGTAAACCACATTTTTTGTTTTTTTTGTCTGACGTTAACACAAACAAAGCGGATGGTTTTCCAACTCGTGAACAGGCAACGTATAACTGCCCATGTGAAAAACAATGATTTTCTAAGTAATCTATTTGAAATTTATCCCGCAAACACTAAGCGGTTGGCCTTGCGACTTGTTATTGCGAACGCAAGGCGAACTGGAAATTGCAATCGTTTGAAGTCAAACGGAAGACCAGTCGGAATCATTGGTATGTCACCAAATCGCCAGCAATTTTTGATTGAATGGTGCGTGCGTGAATTCAGTGCGTGTACATCATTATCCTTTGCGGCAAGAATTGCTCGTTGACTTAACCAAGCATAATTCTGATAATACTCACTAATGTCATTACTCGAATTTTTAATTACGGTGCGTGAAGTTCCAGTAGCTTGCATTAAGGCACGATGACATGCACAATTAATTTTCTTAGCTATAAACCTTGCGGAGCCCGAGACCTTTCCAACGAATGCAAAAATGTCGAAATCGGTTTATGCGTTCTGGAATTATTTCGTCAGGAAGAAAAACCCGACCTATTTTCATATATATAGAAGATAATCTATTTGAAATTATTTAAAACAATAATTGATTATTTTTATTACTCGAATTTTTAATTACGGTGCGTAAACTTTCAGCAATTTGCATCAGGGCACGATGCCATGCACCACTAATTTTCTTAGCTATAAACCTTGCGGAGCCCGAAATCTTTCTAACGAATGCAAAATTGTCGAAATCGGTTCATGCGTTCTGGAGTTATTTCGTCAGGAAGGAAAACCCGACTTATTTTTATATATATAGAAGATATATATATATACATGTATATATGTTATAATATATTGAAATGTTATGAGATGTTGTTGGGGTGCTGATTGGATTGGGTTGGGTTCCAAATGTAGATTGATTCACTCTCCAAAGGGGTGCTAGATCCTTCCAACCTTTTCTTGGTGTCGTGGGCAGAGCTTATAGTTTATAATAGAAAATAACAACACTGGTAAGAGTCTCCTCAGAACCGTGAGCACTTTATATTGGTATAGGCTGAAAGAGTCTTTACGCAAAGTAGAATACAAACACTGAATCTAATTTTGACTTTAACTTTATTAATCTTTAATAACTTCACATCACAAACAAGCATAGATTCGTGCTAGACATACTCTCGACTTTCTCCTAAGACATCACTAGGCTAGACTTTTGACTAAGACATCACTGCCTTTGCTGGACGATAACTACTCTATTTATTTAGTATAGGACGTGACATATGTGTACTTCCGCATTCGTGCGCTGGCCTTGTACTTTGATTATTTATTAAACCCGCACGAAATGCATTGTTACACAATAATATGTACATCCATATATGTGCTTATATGTATGTTTTTGTGTGTACACTATATACATGCACTTGCATATATGTTCATGTATATAATTGTGGATACATTAATATATAGATATGTGCATATGTATTTATGAGTATGTAGGTGTGCATATACATGTGCATGTATATATATATATATATATATATATATATTTTGTAGAGTTTCGAACAAGAATCCAAAAATAATACAAAATAAAAAAAAAAAAGAGTGCGCGTAAGGATCACACGCGATTGAAGTAAAACTTTTAATATTGTATGAGTAGGCAATTAAGATAAAAATAAAAAAACATATTTGAATTTTAAAAATCATTTATTAATAATCACATATAACATCAATAACACAGTTTAAAACAACAGCGATAGATTAATTGCTATCATATTTCATATATGATATAATAGGTTTGTGATAACTGAAATGAGAGACATAAATTTTGCTTTGCAAACTATGTACATTTCTGGAGAAAACTGCATCAATAGTCGAGCCATACCTTGTGGTTGAATCAAATGGAGAATTATTCATTGTTAAATTAAATTTATTATTTAAAAAATCAAATAATGGTTGAGATTCTTCTGAACGAAATTTGACATTGAAATCTCCAGCAAGAATTAATGGTATCTCGTTGTGATTAGTGTTTAAAAGTTTTGCACCCTCATTAGAAAAATGAAGTAACTGCTGATGAAGAAATTCAATAATATTTGATATGTTTTTATTGGGAGAAATTTAAAGGACGACTATAATCAATGTTTGATTCTGTGTGTGTAATATCACCTACTTGTGTAATTTCATTAGGAATGTCCAGTAATATTGTTGGCGCAAGAAACTGCATAGGAGTCGCATTATGAAGAGTATCTGAACATGAATGATAGACAGCTACACCACCTGCTCTTGAGTTTGATCGTTTGTATTGAGTAACACAGTAATAGTTCTGAATATTAATTCGTTCTTCATTATTAATCCAAGTTTCCGAAAATAACAAAAACGTACAACGTTGTAGCACTTTATCTTGCAGATCAGGCAAATGAGCTCGTAAACTTTGGCAGTTAAACGAAAACAATGAAATGTCGTTCAAACTTATTATCTCACTCAATTTTTCTTCTTGTGTTATTAATCTACAAGTTGAAAGTCTTTGGAATTCAGTTTGTAAGTCCATTAATCCTGCTGGCCGTTTTCTACCATTATAAATTTTTTTGTCGTTGTTTTAGAAATGATGAACAATCCATTAATGCTGGTAACTCGTGATAATGCAACATATAGAAGCTGCTGATTATGTGTTTGGACAAAAGTATTTGTGTATTCAAATTTCGCGCGGGTCTTATCTTTGTAATACAGAGTGAAGTATGCTATGACTATGCGATTAGGCTTATTGTGTTTATGTACGTCCTGTTCCATTTTGTACTTCAAGGAGACCACATCCAGCAAATAAATCATCTTATATTTTAAATTGTGTGTTTGGTTAATGTTATTCTTTATTTTATTTATTACCATAAAATTGGTCCATCTCACGGATATCTAAAATCAGTGCATATTTAGTATTACCATAACCATAAATACACATACAAGTTTTGTTTACGCTGTACACGTGGGTCAACAAACTGGAAATATACATTCTTGGATTCAAGTTAGGTGAATATTAAAAACACTGCTTAATTCATGATCGGGAACAGCATTTTCGTGTAATTGGAGTTGGATTTGGCAAGTTATTCCTATACTATACAAGCTATACGACGCCGCCAAGCCATTTGACACATAACCTCTATCTGGAGTTACTACTACGTGCTATATCTCGGGATACATTGCTGAGGACAAATTAATTCAGGAACGATAAGTTTTACTGGAATTTTTGACCACACACAGGAATTTTTTGGACAATACACAGGGATTCTCTGGACAGCACACGAGGTAGAGCGAGGTATTCAAGTAACAACCTGTTGCTGAGTCTATATTATATACTCATTTTTATATTTTCTTTCATATATTTTGTAAATTACTATTGTTCAAATTATTACCTCAATTTTGTTATCGTAAAGATATATTGTATAAATTGCTTTGAAGTGTACAATTCCACTTTTAAAGTCATTATATTAACCATTACTTAAAATTTTGTTATCGTAAAGATATATTGTATAAATTGCTTTGAAGTGTACAATTCCACTTTTAAAGTCATTATATTAACCATTACTTAAAATTTTGTTATTGTAAAGATATATTGTATAAATTGCTTTGAAGTGTACAATTCCACTTTTAAAGTCATTATATTAACCATTACTTAAAGTTTTGTTATCGTAAAGATATATCGTATACGTTTTATCAAAGTGTACAATTCCACCTTGTAAAGTCATTATATTACCCATTATTTAAAATGACTGATATCAATAGAGTTTTATTACAATTTGCCATTGTTAAAAAGCATATTGAACGCTTTCAAAAATTTATAACTGCTGCAAGTAATGTAACTAATGTTTCTGAATTTAGTGTAAGGAAAACAAAGTTAAATGAATACATGGAGAAACTTGACCTATTATATGGTGTATTGGAAAGGCATAGTCCAGGAGAATTCACAAATGAATATGACAAATTTTATGATCTCAGCTTATCACTATTAGCTTCGTTGGAACAACATATAAGTAAGTTTGTTGTAAAAGTTGAACAAGGGCTAAAGAGTGAAGCAACGTTAGATGTAAAATTGCCAGTAATCTCTCTACCTAGATTTAACGGTGACACTAGTCAATGGCTTTCCTTTAAAGATATTTATGAATCACCAATACATAATAATGATAAATTAAGCCCGGTTCAGAAACTACATTATTTGAAAGGAGCGTTAACTCCACCAGCTTCTAATTTCATTTCTTCATTAAGTTTGACTAACGATAACCATAAGGTCGCTTATGATTTACCTTTTGAAACTTATAATAATAAATTTTTGATTATTAATAATCACTCAGGTGCTATAGATTCTATTCCTTATATAAATAAAAGTACACACGATTCATTGAAACAATTTTTAAATATTAATAGATTTCATTACCAATCACTCATTGCTATGTTCGAGGAAGCAAAGCATTGGGATTTAATTCTTTTATTGTTGTTAAACAAAAGGTTAGATTATAATATTAAAATAGCATGGCATTTAGCTAAATCTACAAAAACATTACCTACAATATCTGAAATTTTTAAATTCATTGAACAACGAACAAATGTGTTAGAAAATATTTGTGATGAAGTGTCTATAAAGACGGTTAACTTTAATAGTAATAATAAGTTTATTTTAAATAAGATACCAGTTTCAAAACGGAAAATCTTAAATTTATTTTTTACGGATGACAAAAGTTTAATTGAAACTTTAGGCTTGTTTTTAGATCTTATGAATGATACTTTTAAAATTTCTTCTCCGTCCAACTTATCGGAAACCAATATTACGAAAAGAGTAATGTTGGCCACAATTGTACAAATATTTGATCCATTGGGGCTAATAGCTCCTATTACAATTGTGGGGAAAATGTTAGTGCAGGAATTGTTACCAAATTTAAAAAATATTTCTATACTGCGGTGCATTTTGAAACATTTATCTATTTCTGAGATAGAATGCCACGGGTTTGCAGATGCATCTCTATCTGCATATGGCGCATGTATATATATTAAAATTTTTTACTCTAATAAAACTACATTTACCAATTTATTATGCGCTAAATCTAGGGTAGCACCAGTAAAGAATATTACATTACCCGCCTCTCTGAACTGTGTGCTGCACCTTTATTATCTAAAATTATATAAATATGTATGTACTAATGTCGATATCAAATTAATAAGTCGTTTTTATGGAGCGATTCTACTATCGTTTTTTCAAATTTGCCCACGTTATTTAGAGTAGTTGCCTTCATTTTAAGATGGTTGCCAAATATAAATCCAATAAAGAATATTTAAAATATTTAACTATGAATGAAATTCATAATTCTTTAAAAATATTATTTTTTTACGCGTCACCAACAACAAGAGAGTTTCGGAAGTATTATGGATGACTTCGGAACTGATCAGAACTTATATTCTAAATTAAAACCTTTAAGTTCAGCCGTTACACAATTAGTTTTTATTTGGCAATTTACACCTACATATGCTCCACACTTTGGCGGTTTATGGGAGGGGGTCGATAAAAAATAATGAAATCATATTTGCGTAGAGTGATTGGGTTGTTAAACTTACGAGGAATATGTTACATTACTTGCACAGGTCGAGGCAGTATTGAATTCACGTCCTGTATTAAGTATGTCAGATGACAGCACAGATGCGTCATATTTATCCCCCAGTCATTTTTTTGTATAGGTGATATAATGACTCCTGTACCAGAATATACAATCCTAATTGGTGTGCAAATAAATTAAAAATTTATAAAGATTACGACCATGCATGATCAATTTTAGAAAAATGGTCAAATCAATATTTAGAATAAAAATATTTAACTAAAATTGTACCTCTTCCAATAGAATAAATATGTGAAATTCCATCTTATAAATTGAAGTTAAATAATGTATTTTTAGAATGTTAGAATAGATTTTACTCAATTATGATATATACTTTAAAATGAATTATTATTGATTACTATTATTATTTTTATACAGTCCACTCTTCGAAAATATGTGCATCAAATTGAGATTACGATCAAATTATTCATTTATGTTATGTATTTTAGGTTAAGTTACAATTTTGATAAATGTTAATGTAATATTCCTAATTAATGTTAATAATGTAAAATTTTGGATGCTTTGCATCGCCCGGGAATATGGACAAAAGTATTTGTGTATTCAAATTTCGCGCGGGTCTTATCTTTGTAATACAGAGTGAAGTATGCTATGACTATGCGATTAGGCTTATTGTGTTTATGTACGTCCTGTTCCATTTTGTACTTCAAGGAGACCACATCCAGCAAATAAATCATCTTATATTTTAAATTGTGTGTTTGGTTAATGTTATTCTTTATTTTATTTATTACCAGTGTTTTATTGTATTCATATACAATTTTATCAAAAGTACCACCTTGTGATTTGTGTATTGTGAGTGCACAAGCAGACACTAAAGGAAAATGATTTCTTTTGACAAATATGATTTCCTGAGAATCGGCACAGCTGTCCTACTGATATTAAGAGTTTGAATATGATGTGCAGCTTTTTTCCTAATTTTGTTACCTATCTTACCAGGAAATTCAAACCATAAACGTAGAAGTTCATCATTATCGCCACGTTCTATGTACACTAATTTTCCTACACAACCATTAGCTAAGCCATCACTCACATCAATATTAGTTGTTATTATGCAAAATTTATTCAGAACTAAAATTATTTCATACGGCAAACCCCCGGTATCAATAACCGATTTTTGTGAAACTGCTGACGAATGTATGATTGTTGATCTGTCGCATGGCAACCTACATAAATATCCGTGGCAGTAGATATTATTTTGTCTTCAACGAGATTCAATATAAATTTATTATATTCCATGACACATTTATTCTCTAAGAAAAGTCTTATTCCATGAGGACATAACATAAAAAACATGATTCAATTAATGCAAGTTCATATAGGGTTTAGCGCTCGACTTACGCGACATCAGCGCTTACGGCGTCGTAGTGTTCAACTTCACGTTGGCGTTTTCGTTGCATTTGTACGGATTTACACCCGTGTAGCCTAAAGAAATTTTTACACCCATATCGCGCCTAAAGAAGTTTTACTTCAATAACATAAAATGCAAATAAAATAACATGCGTCTGACAGTCTGACGCGCACGGCGAATCGTGTTCTCAACTGCGCGTGCTTTGCTTTTGCTTGCAATAATTTTGTTTGCGCACTTTGCTAACAGATTCGCCGTACGAATTCGTGCAAAGGAGACTTAGTGCATAAGTGATTGCGCTCAAAAGTATTCAATTTGCAGTCGTTTTGCCTTACTATACTAAGTCACAATACAAAAAAAATTACTTATTCAAAAAATTATTTAGAAGTTTCATTGTGTCAAAAATTTATTTGGTTGGCATTTTGTACGGAATATTTACTCAATGGAGCGCTTTGGGTCTGAACTTTTTTTTACTGTTTTCCAATTCGTCTGGAATTTTGGAATTAGGCTCATCTCACTCTCAAGTTCGAAAGTGAAAACAATTTAGACTCCTTTGCACTACCCGGGGGGATGCCATTTCTTTTCAGTGGTTTCAGTGGATAAAAGAACTAATTATAAAAGAAAATGTTTAATAATGTTTTCAAAAAAGTACATACTTTTCAAGTTACTGGCTACTGAAAATTTGTTTCTTTTTTGCGTTTTTCGTCGTTTTTTGCTAATATCTTCAAAAATATACATTTTAACGAAAATTATGTAATGAACAAAATTATATCAATAAAAATCCTAATAAATCGCTATTTTACAGTGTTCTAGGAACAATATTAAGTTAATTATGAAAATGGGTTTTTATAGTTCTCCAAATAAGCTTTAAAAGAAGTACTTCTGCGTGTAAAATGAGTGAGCTATCATGCAATTAAAAGACGCACACAATGTTTTTTTTCATTTAAATCAAATACTTTTGAGTGCCATTTCCACCAAAATTAAAAATAATCGTTTTCCATCTAGAATTAGCTTGGTTTGAGAGATTTTGATGGATTCTAAAAAATACCATAACATTAGTACAAACGATTTTCAAAAAACTCATGATTTCATAAAAAAAAATCCATTTAAAAAAAAACAATTTCTCATTATAATATCTCTGAAAGAATACGTATTAAAGTATATATATGAAAATTCAAGGTATTTTTCAGACTGATTATTGCTTTTTATTATTTTTTTGTTATACAAATATTGATAGAGTTCTAATTGTTTAAAGAGTGCGCGGTGGTCCAACCAGAGTGTCTTTCGAGCCCTTTAATCCTCCGCCGTTTCAAAATAAGAGAAGTTACGGCAAAACTTATAATAGAGAAAGTTGTAGCTCATTTAATCACCTTTAAAATAGTATATTACAACTTATGATAAAATCAAAATTAAAAGAGTTATAATCCAATTAATGCGGGGGTAGTGACGAAATGCAAATTGTTTTCACTTCTCAACTTTAGATTAAGATTAGCTGGGCATACGCTTTTTTCCTCTCCATTTACTGCAATAATTTTGTTGATAGTAGGTTGAATAGAGCACATGTGAACAAAATTTGACAAATTAATTCACTTCAAATATGAGCTTAAGTAATAATGTATATTGAATTATTAGTGTGAAAAATGCAATTTAGATATTAAAATACTAAAAGCCAGTTAAAATATGGTACGAAATTATGAAAATTGTAGGCAACATTATTGAAGCAATTATTTTGGGTAGAAAAATTCAAGATGATATTGTACCTTGACCGCATGCTATATATTAATTTTTTCTGAATTTGTTATACTTTTCAAAAGATTTCAATTTTCAACACGTGTATCTATGCTATGACAATAAATACATGGTGATAAATTTAGAAAATCAATGTTTTAGCCGTGAATAAACAAAAAATCATTCATTTAAACATCCACATCTACAGGTATGTCTAAAAATATTGTATAACTCTTAAATTCAATAAAATAAATTGAGCTATTATAAATAAATTTGCTCTATAAATCGCAGTGTATAATTTTTAATATATAATTTTATTGAACATATTTTAATATTTGTTAAAGGGATAATTAAAGTGTTAACTGTGGGAATTGAGAATAATCATTTTATTTGAAACAGTACTACATTTAACATCACTCATATATTGGTGTAAATAGTAACTCAAAAAACAATAATGATTATTTTCAACTGAACGGTATAAGTATTAGTATAGGATATTAAAAAACGTAGAGGTGGGTACAGGACAACGTCTGTCGGGTCATCTAGTATATATATAAAACCCTGCAAATATTTATGACGTTAAAAAATGTAATAAATAAAAGTACTTTAAATAGATTGCTGCAAAGCGTTAAATTGAATTTTAAAGTATACCGATTTGCTGTAGGGTCTTGTATTGTTAAAACGTGTTTTTTATAATTTAATTTTGAACAAATTTGCCAAATATAGTAAATAAATCGTACTAATAATTCAAAAGTTACACGTAATGTAAGCGCAAAGTACATGTATACTTTATTTATTCTTATAACAACTACAAAAAATCTGTGGTACATTTTTCTATAGTTTTACAGTTAACTCCTAAATTATCTAATTTATCTTAAAACTATCTTTAGCAAGTTAAAAGATAATGAAATTATCTGCGTTTTTCTCTAATATAGTATGCAAGTCTAAAAAACTTCCGTTACTTAAATATACAGTTAAATTAGTTGTGTACTATAAAACATCTTATACAGCCTGCACTTTATTGTTTTAAAAGTCATTTACACGTTTTCAATTGCATTTTAAAGTATACCGAGTTGATGTAGGGTCTTATATTGTAAGAAGGTATCGTAAATCATTCAATTTTGAATAAATGTTTCAAATACATCATTCAAATTAATTAATTTGTTCAGAAGTTACAAGAGATTTAATAAATAAATGCAACAACGAGTCGAGTCGATGTCGATTCGAATCGCGTCGTACTATATACAGTACAGTGGGTCAAAAAGTTTTATATGGTTAAAATGCTTGTAGGGTATCAAATGAAAGGTCTCGACGAGCACATCACGAATATCATAGTTATAGACCTTAAAAAACAATAGGGTTCCGTACTCTATACATTTAACAATAATCTAATGATTGTTCATTTTGAGCGCTATTTTAGAGTATGTCGAGTTACTGTAGAACATTACAATATCAGACAATATTTTAGATAATTTAATTGTGTACAAATTCGCCGAATACATCATTCACATAAATTGGAGGGTTTAAAAGTTACAAGAGTTTCAATAAATATGTGCGCAAACGAGTCGAGTCGAAGTCGAAGTCGAAGTCGATTCGAAGTTTTTTCGTACTATATACAGCACAGTGGGTCAAAATGTTCCAAAAAGTAAAATTGCATGTGGGGTATCAAATAAAAGGTCTCGACGACCACATTACGAATATTATACTAAAAAAAACTTAAAAATCAACAGAGTTCCTTACCTTTTAACTAGTCACTTATTTAACTAGAACTTCACACTAATTTTCATTTTTTTCGCATTATATTAAAGTATAGCCAGTTGAGTTGCAAAACAACATTGTAAATTATTCAATTCTGAATAAATTTGCCGATTACATCATTTATATCAGTGATTTCCAAAGTGGTCCATATGGACCACCAGGGGTCCATGGCAACTTTTAAGGGGTCCACGGCGGCAAAAACAAAATTTGGGGGTCCACGAAATAAAAATGGGGGTCCACGGCAGTGGATTACAATACACCATGTTAAAATCTATTTATTTACTTTAAACGATAATATAATATATAGATTTACAACAAATCGTTTAATATAGTTGGCAATATTTAGAAATGATTCAAAAAGTAAAGAAAAATATTACATATTTATATAAGGTGTAGCATGTAGGCATCCGAGTTATCGTTACACTATACGCTGGCTGTTGAAAAGCTTATTTTTGGTAAGATTTTTGCCCTTAGAATTTATAAATACCAAATGTAGAGGTTTAAATGGCCATTTAACGAAGTGTGATATAGATACCACTTATTTGGATTCGATAAACAAAATTTTCTTTGAATTTTAGTTCTCTCAGCAACGAATTTGGACTCAA